GTTTTTAACTTGATTTTGACTTCAAATCTGACATGAGTCAATAACTGACATAAAAAAAGACAGCGCGGTTCCACATCGGACTTACGTTCAAAACCCCCTAACTGCATTCTGGGATTTGAATCAACGAATCAGAGGTTCAGAAAAGGTCACATGATGAGTTAAGAAAAACTAGAAAGTTAAGAAAAACGTTCTTACATCATTTGGAAAATTACCAGGCAAAATAAGAATCATCTTTCCTAAACTCTCTGGTATTTTCTTAAATATTGCTAAGAAAAACCCGAATGACCTTTTTGTTAAACTTTCTATGGATAAAATCAAGAATGATTAAGAATATAATACTAGTCTTATCTTCAGCCTAATTAAAGATTTTATATCTGAACGTTCTTGTTTATTTTCTTATAAGTGTTTGTCAAGAAAGATAAGAATTCAATTCTTGTATTTTCTTAAATGTTGCTAAGAAAAACAAGAACGGTCTTTCTTAAGTTGTCTAGTCAAAAAAACAAGAATCTTAAAGAAAGAAATACTAAGCACAGCTTTACGCAGATGAAGGTTAGACATCCAGGTAATACGATACGCCAAAAAAACAATTACTCAAGCAACTGGATATGATTTTGAAAACGTCAGATGTTTCAGCTAGTATCCACTAGCTTTCGTCAGTGACTGAGAGACCAGAGGGGAAAGCAGGTTTAAAAGCACAACTTATTGATTGATATGCAAATAAAGTGAAGACAAATTTGGAAGTCAAGCATTGAAAAATTTGGAACTCAGACTAATTTACATCATCTTGTCTTGACTTGTCTGACCTTTGTTCCTTTTTTTACTTCCAAATTTGTCTTCACTTTATTTGCATATCAATCAATAAGTTGTGCTTATAAACCTGCTTTCCCCTCTGGTCTCTAAGTCACTGACGAAAGCTAGTGGATACTAGCTGAAACGTCTGACGTTTTCAAAATTATATTCAGTTGCTTGAGTAACTGTTTTTTGGCGTAAGCACAGCTTTATTCTAATCATAAATTTAGATATTTTAAATTTATTGTTTTTCTGATCATTGTTTGCCAAGAAAGACAAGAATCAAATTATTGTGTTACCTTAAACATTGCTAAGGCAAACAATAATGGCCTTTCTCAATTTTTCTAGGTAACATATACAAGAAAAATACAGCAGAAAAAAACATTTAAATCTGCCCACTTTGATGCCAGGTAAGAAAGACATGTTACATGGAGATTGAATAACTAAGTCTGAGAGAATTTTAAGTTTAAAATAATTCTAATCTTGCAACTTAGAATCTCCTATAGAAATGTTGTCTTTACGTAAGAAAATTTAAGATTAAAACAATTCTAAAATTGTAAGTTATCTCATGGAGTATCTCCTCTAGAAATATTAATTTACTGAAGAAAAATCAAAATTTTAAAGAAGCCTATTCTATAAAAATTTTCTCCTCTTAAGAAAAATGAGAAAATTGTTCTTGGTGCAAGAAAGTAGGTATAAAGGAAATTACGTTTTTTCTTAATAAAATAATTGTTAACCCTAACGTTTAGTTTAGTTAAAGCACATTTTCTGTTTTTTGATATGTATGAAGAAGTATAGGGCACTATATATTTATTTTCTGTTGGCAGAATCAATGTTATGCAGGGACATGGATTATTTAGTAAATCGTTTTACATTTTGTTTTCTATCTTTTTCCAGCCCACCTCATTGTCTTGTCATGCGTTTGCTTGCCATTATGTACATATTGTACCAATTCGGTTGTAAAACTTGTTTAAAAGTTGTCAATTGTTTTTACGGTTTTTAAAGCGACAAATGCTAAATATGTCTCATAGATACATATATACAATTATCTATTGTTATTTTGGTCATTGTACGTAATTTCTGTAAAGTAATCTGGTTCTAGAAAGCTGCATAAATCTATAAAAAGCAAGATTCTTTAGACTGCTTGATAAGGTCTTCAACATATATCTTGATATAACACGACATTTTTTTTCTTGAAATGTCACATAAAACAAGTCTTCAGCCCTCACGTTTTAGGCCATGTGCTGCCCAACGTTTTTATCGCATTGACCAAACTTGTTATCGTCATGTAATTTCAATAACAAGTTTGATGTTGGTACGTTTCGCTTACGTACCTTAATTAACCAGATAACAATCTTGTACAAATATTCCCGGTTCATGGCCACACGTTCTAGTGGATGACAAGAATAGAAAATGCCATGTCTTCTCTACAATGCGAATATCATGCAATAACCGGGATTAGTTAGTAAATCGTTTAGATAATGAAGGGAATATCTTTAAAACTGTAATTGTGGTCAGTAAGATCCTGTAATGGTGATTTCTACCGTATGCACTTTCATCGCTTCTCTTACTACAATCTGGTGTGCTATTCTAGATAGTGTAGCTTTATAATCGTCTGTGGTTTACGTATGGACTCTTCAACCATCAAATGACAATAGATTGAAATTATATATAGGCAGGACTTTTGTTATATCACCGCACGTTATTGTCGACATTCAGCTCAACACATTATGCTACATTTGGTTGTGTACATATTGCTCCATATGACGCCATACTTTTTACTTGACATGGCAAATAAAACGTGTTTTCAGCCATCACGTTTTAGGCCATGTGCTGGCCAAAGCTTTTTATCACCTTGACCAAACTTGTTTTCGTCGTACAATTTCAATAACATGATTGATGTTGGTACTTTACGCTTACGCACCTCAATTAAAACGGATAACAATCTTGTACAAATGTTCACGGTTCAAGACCTCATGTTCCAGTCCACGTGAACGGGAAAATAATGCCATGCATTGTCCTCAAACTGGATATCATGCATGGACATGTAGGTTGGATACATTTAGTAAAGTGTTTTCGATGAAGTAAAGGAAATAACTTTCAAACATTTCTATAGCCATCTTTACCATTGAAAACAATATTAAAAATTTATGCCATGTACCTTAAACTACGTGATGGTGTTAAATCTGGCTAGTTTGGCTGTAAAATTGACCATGATTTTTAATATTGGTTTCCTTTTTCAACTGACAATAGAGAACTGATGTAATCAAGGCTAGAACACGCTGTATTTTCTCTACAGTACAGCATATTTAGACTATTTTTCTAGTGATAATTCGGATGGTAATGTTACGAGTTATGTTGTATAGTGTTGCTTCCGTACGAACTATTTTAACCCTATCTAGACCGGGCTTTTTTGGGCTTGGTGGGACCGGGGGGGGGGGGCTCTTTCGGCCCCCCCTCAGAACTCGCGAACGGTATATCGTAGGACCACCAAATTTTTAGAGGATGGTGTAATAGTACAAATTTATCATATGTGCAATTTTTATGTCGTTGTGACGTAATATGACGTCATTATGACGTCATTAATGTGATTTTATTGGCCAAAACCGTCTAGATAGGTTTTTCCCAGAAAACTAAACAGTATACGACATAACTTTACCAAAAGTGTTTTTGACAGAATATCAGGATGTACTAAGTCTTATGTTGCCCATAGCAACACCGGTGACGTCATAAAATGACGTCATGCATATATTACCTATCCGCCATCTTGGATCATCAATCTTGAATTTTGAAAAATAGTTTTTTTTTCAGGATAAAGCTTAAAATACATCGCAAACAGACTAAAGACGTTCATATGAACCTTTTTTGTAAAAAGAAATGGGAGTATTGATGAAATTTTAGGGAAAATAAGCTGTATTTACCTGATATAATGATATGGTCCGCCATCTTGGATTTTGGCCGATGACGTCATCAAATTAGCATAAATTATGCATGTTTAATGATAAAATTTACATATAATTATATTTGATGTTATTAATATTAGAAACAATGTGTAACTTGACAAAAAACCCATAAAATTCTGTTGTTTAAATGGAAATTATTAAATTTGGCAAAAAATGCCTGTCAGAAACCCGTTGCCATGGCAACAAGAAAAATCATAATCTTGTTCCACTGATACAGATTTGTTGCCAACAATATTTCAGGAAAAGTCACCAAGTTTGGCGGTTCTAGCTCTTGTCGTTCAGACGCTATGTGACATCAAAGTTGCCGCGGGCACTTTTAGCCCCCCCCGGTCTAGATAGGGTTAAGACCTGCCAAACTCGTGTTTTCTCTCCCCCTCTACCAGTCAGTATGTGTTACATGTAAGACTAGCAGTGTTTACACAACTGGCAACGTCTTAAATTGTTATATTTGAAACCAGGGTGCGCAAATGAACTTTTTTTCCTTCTTAAGCAAAATATTAATTTGGAATCTAACCTACTCGTTCTATTCCGTTAGCCTTTTATGACGTTATCGTATTAGCATAGATCATCAAGTTCGCATTAGAAAAATTAAGAGTATTTTGTTTAAAATAATACGGTACCTCTGAAAGTGCATGAAAGCCATAAAGAGGATAATTATAAAGGGCATAGATCTATACCTCAAAATTGGGGCAAAACATTTTAACGCCGTAATCAAATGAATGATAATGTTTACTGTGTAAATTTGCAGATGGACAAACCTTGTCGATCCTCAAACAGAAGCTCGGGGGAGAGACGATACGTCTGTACAGGAATGGGAAGATCTTTAGAGGCTTGGACTTTACAGTGACGAACCAAATTATAGCAAAAACAAATGCACAGGCTGGCGCAGTCCTTCGTGACAATTGTTAAAAATCTATGATTTTTAAAAATCTATGAAAACAACGCCGTTTGACTGAACTGTTTTAGCCATTAAGTCCACTAGATATAGACATACAAATTAGACTTCTTTTAAGTTAAAAAGAATATTTTGTATATGTATATGTATAAAACTTTTAAATATTTCGAATCTCAACGTATACAAGTATCTTGGCGTACCCAAAAGACCATGCCTAACTAGGTGATTTATCAACAAATGTAACTATGTTTACATATATAATTTAGTTAGCAAACCAATCAGAACTCAGGCCTGGAACATACGGGGTGTATATAAGTGTTGACCCATTGGCAGCTGAAGTCCAGTCACCTCGAAGCCTTAAAACACTCCGAAATGGAGATAACTTCGCGGTCTTTTGTTCTAGTCGTGGTATTCCTGTTGTGTATTGAGACAAGCTATTGTCGGTATTACACGAGGGAGGTTAAAAAAAGCCTCCAAAATCCTCTGAGGTATGGGGAAACTGACATAGTTTTTGTGCTTGATACGTCCGGAAGGGTAGGTGGATATAACTTCGGGAGAGAAGTTACATTTGTCAGAAACCTTCTCAACAAAATCAACGTGTACATGGACGGTGCTCAGGTGTCTCTCATCCGTTATGGTAATGACGTGGATGTGCTCATACATCAGATTGGCTGTTGGCCTGGCAGTTCTAAGTGTGAATTGCTACCCGCACTAAGTAGAGTCAGCTACACGGGCGGATCGTCAAATATGGGGGCAGCACTGCAAAAGGCAAGAGAGCTTTTTGAAAGCAGTCGACCTGGTGCCAAGAAGGTACGTAATATTTAACTTAAGTCGTTATCCCCGCGATGATTTCGCCCTCCCAGGGTCGATATTGATTTTATCCTCCCCACCTCGTACGTATACCCCCCCCCCAAATAAAAATCAGTTATTTCCTTAAAAACTTATATGTGTATCCAGGGAGTTTCGCTGTATGTATAGACTTTAAAATTATTTTACGAATAAATCTTTAAGCATGTATGAGCTTAAGTCTTGCGTTGTTGAGATGCTTATACTGTTTAGCATAGCAACAGGAAATACTTCAGCAAGAACGGTACGTTATTGCTTCAACCGAACAGTAATGATATGGTTAGAATTGTTAATCAAATTTATGTACCTGACATACCTGAGGTGCGGTATAAAAGAGACCAAGGTCATAGCAAGTAATTTTATGAATGACATTAGCTGGCACAATAATCTTGAAAAAAAAATTGCACTCTGACGGTCTGAGTTGACTGAGTGGGCAAAGTTGACTGTTATCAGGCCGGAATGTGGATGGCAGATAAAAATAAAGAGAGGAGATAAGACTGTGAGTTACTGTTTTGTCTTTTACTTTGATACAGTGATGTATTTCAGGCCTTTTATATGTGAAATTTCCTATGAATCAAACCATTTGCACAATGATTGAAAAGGTTTATGTTTTACTTGCAATGTATGTAATGATAGTTGGCACCTGGCACAATATACTATTAGGTACTATTTCTTGTTTCACAAGGTTTATGATATGAAGATTTCACCCTTTCGCATTAGATTTGGAGTCTGCGGAGAGACCATCCATACAATTTACTTGTTTTGGCCTATACCTAAGGGGCAGGAGGGAGCCAGATCTCCGGAAGGGGGAGGGTGGTCGCTAGCGATGTCATTATAACCCCCGGAGGGCGAAATTACTAAGGGGCGAGATCACTGTGAAACCGTTTTTCGTGTGTGTGTTGCAATAATGGTAGGATAACCAATTGAACAGGTACAATGTCCGCATTTTTTTAACCTATAGGGACGATTCCTTCCAAGCAAAACGAATTGTAGACGTTGCCCCCGGACACACTGAGCTCGTGCAAGCCGTTTAGAAATTCTGTCTACCTAGGACATTGTGGCTTTGCTTTTCGTTGATGGCCATTACATTGTGTAGTATTATTTATGTTGGATATTTTCACTTTTAGCGCTTTAACTGCATCCCATCCCATGCCGGCGCGCTAGCGCCTTACCTTTGTTTTCAAGGTTGTTTACTACCAGGCACATCCTAGCAATGGCAATATTCTAAATTCAGTTTTGCAGTTTTGAGGACGATTTTAAAATGATAGAATACGTAAAAGAGTATAACACGTGCACGGGCGATAATATCTCGAATAAGTGCTTTACAACTTCTGCAGCTATATTGCATTTATTAATCTGTGTCGGTTGCTTTATATTTCTACAGCAAGAGCATGTGGTAGTGTGCGGATAGAACATTTTTTTCAATATTTGCCGGTAATATCCCTACAAGTAGTGGTTGTGTTTGTGTGAAGAATTGCAAGTTACTTTAAAATTTCAGTCGGTATGTCAACCAAAATTGACCAAATGTTAGAAATACTGGTGTACGAGAGAACCAAGGTGCACTAGTAAAAAACACCCGATCTTCACAAAAATTATACGCAGCATAAAATTGTCGGCCTCACCTTCCTGAAGAACTGATAGATCACCCAACAAGAAAAGCTTTTAAAAAATCTGGCCCGGCCGTCAAAGAAAAAAACAGGAGGCATCTCAATTTCGGAAGAGCTTTGAAAAAAGCTGGCATTTCGGCATTGTCAAAAAGGAAATAAATAAAGAAAATGCCGACAGCGCCACGAAAATGCAGATCGGAGCACGCGCGGCCGCGCCTTTAAACAATTAGCCGCAGTGGGTGACACAAAGGAGCGCAGCCGTTGGGTAACCCCGTGCTCTGTCCTCTTGTAGTACGTCTGTATATCATCTAGTTATATATACTCGAGTTATTTTGCTAACAAGCCACAAAAACATAAAGTATACTGCAGTGACGTACGGACCCCCCCCCCCACACACACACACAAAGCACTTGACTTTGGCCTTTACAACGGTAATCTGCCTGGCAAAAACCATGGACGTCGAATCAAGCCTTCAAGATTTATTCCGCTAAATCCGCAGTCACCCGATATACAGCGGGACGATTCCATAGTCATTCTGACAAAGACAAAATGGATTTTGGGTCCTGTGCCCTATTATCGAATCCGAATGACCTGAAATTTGGTATAATACGGGTTTATTTCTTCCAGACTTTACGGAAAATAGTAGCAGGGTCACCGTAGGACCCTAAATTGATCTGCCGCGCGCAATAAACATGTTATACAAAACGGCACAAATATTAAAAGCCACTAGAGCTCCACCATCTTATACCTTCGCCAAATAATGTTAGCTTTTATGACTCATGCAAAATTATCTCCATTAATCCCTCTGATTATGCAAATAGGATCCCAAATTGTATAAATTATATCTGTTGATCATATTCTACACCAGAAGCCTTATCTTAACAAAGAATGCCATCTTGGAATTTCCTTAAATTATGTAAATAAGGTTCTTATTTCAATAAGTTATGCTTAATTATGTTCCCCTTCACTTAACTTTAAAATACCCCAAGTATAAAATTCCAGGCAGTTTGTTTGTTTGTTTATTTAGATCACCATTAGTATGGAAGTCAACTTCATGTTATTTTTCCTGGAGTCCAATAAGCAGTTACCAGTTGGAATTATAACATTTTTTACTAATTATGCAGATTAAGTCTTTATTTGCATAATCGCTATCTGCCTGTGTTTCTCTCGTTCTCTCTGCTGACGTATTCCTTCCCCTTGTAACTTCCTGTGAAAGTTTGCACAAAATCTAGCATATCTACCCCATTCTCTATCCACCTTTTCACCTCCGCATTGTGAAACCCACTATCTAAAATCTTCCTCCATTCTTCTGGGTGCCTGTGCACACCCCCCGCGATGAAGTTGTCGGGGTCCCTAAACATCAGTGAATCCGCGGATGCCTTAATCTTCCCGGATGCCACGTCCTCGATGGATGGCGGCACAATGGTTCTTCCGTCCCTTTGTCTAGTGATCGACGTCTCCCTCGCCAGGAGGTGCTCTTTATACGCCCCTAGCGGGTCGACCGGGAAACGCACCTCAAAATCGTAGACGTTCGGGGTGAACCATTTCGTACCCTGGAAAAGGAGTAATAATCCGGAATTTCGTGGGTGCATGGTTTTATTGTTAGTTGACTATTCCTTAAGATAAATGTAGAATTACAGGGTTGCCCAACTTTTTATTGAAAAACGACGCAGCGCCTTTATCACTCTGTTATAGTTGCATTGTAGACTTTCTGTAAAATGCTAGCATGTGTATTTGTTTGCAGCTTGCCATCCCTTGTACACTTTATTGTTTGTTTGCGTTAGAGTTATATGCGCAAGTGTGGGTCGATCAACCTCTTGTGACAAAATGTCCCCACCCCTTCAAGCCCAAATCTAACAAGCAACGCGTCTCCCAAAAATAAGCTCGCTCGGTGGGGATCCCAGGAGCTATCACCGACACATCCGTTCCTAAGCGCGAGTTTGTGCTACATGCTATACCCTTACGTTCTTTAGCCTGGGCAACGCAGAATGAGAGCAATATTCCCGCCTCGATCGCCCCTTTCAACCACGTAACTTTCTAAGACAGACTGTCCCAACGCCCAGACAAAGCGAGGGAAAACCTTACGCGCCGGTAATCTTTAACTAGAATGGTTCGCTTAATCTCCCTACTGGTTTGGGATTGATGGCGTCAAACTGTACATCGCGATTGAGACAAGTGTTACCCAGCCGCGTAAAAGCACCCAAAAATGTCACTCGCTGTTTCTTCACTTATCTTTCTAGCCTCTGCCTTGTCACACCTTTCCCCAGCATAACGTCCTTCACGGTCGTGTCACATATCCTATACATGTTTGTACCCAGCGAATTGCTTAGATATAGCCTTGTTATATCCGAACTAGGTTTTTTCAACCGGATTTTTCGCCTTAGGTTACCGACGAAAATAATTGTTTCATGGCAGAGAGTACCTGCTGCTCTATATCCTCTCGAAGTATTTGATAAAAAAAACTTGTACTTGTTAGACTAAACCGGGTGTTGCGACACCTGCCCGCCGATACGCTACATGGCTTGTCAGAACGAATTGAGGCTTGCTACCCAAATTTTACTGAAAATGCGACTGCAAAGCAGAAAACCTACATCCCGCTACCCAGAATGACACTGTTATACGCCTCCCGTTACACACCTCAAGAAGTGGATAAAAACAAATATACATTTTTAATTCTCCTCCCCCCTTTCCATGCTCTTTCAATGTTATTTGCTGGCCAGTGGTAACCTGACTTACTTTTTATTTCGATTCTCCATGTTACGCATGCTGAACCTTGCTTTCTTTACTTTTGGTAAACAAACGTTGTCTGATACAATTTAACAAAATTTCGGGCTGATTGCACTGTCCGGCCTAGTATCGTTATTAACCTTTATCGATTGACACAAATACACGCTCCAAATGTTCCGCCGAAAACTTTATTATCCATGTATCAGGACCACTGCCCCTTGAAACGAAAACAAAACTCTCGCAGGAGTAAAAGGGAAATGTTGCATATCGGCGAAAATACAACAAACAAAAAGTTTAACACAGTCTTCTAACTGCGACTAAAACACGTACGCTCCGTTATTGCTACGTGTGCATTTTACTCAGTTATCCCTCAAAGCAGAAGAATGTCTTTTTCTGCTGGTTTTCTATAAGCTGTCAACATAAATATCATGCTTGTCACGCACTTCAACCGATTGAAACATTTGAATACAGGCGCCTGACCCATGGGCATTTGCAGTCATTTGATACGCACTATGTTAGCCAATTATTTTGTAACACTTTTTCCAGCCATCGAGGATTAACGAATCATCAAAATAATACTTGTGCAGGTAACAAGCAAGATCCTCTAGGTTTACATGGCGAAAACAATTA